GCTGCACCTTCAAGAGACTGGAGATGGAGCCAAGGAAAGAGTAACTATTATTTTCTTACCACATCAGAGACACCTAAAAGCTCTCTTCATCTCTCTGCTCAGAGAAAGATTTGACAATGATATTCATATTTCTTCTATGGCTGGTGCAGGGTGCTCTGCTCAACATGGCAAGCTGGAAGAAATGAGACTTGTGGTAGGTGAAGGGAAGTCTGAAGTTCTTTTCTTAAAACCTTTTATAGTTTACTAATTCCCCTCCCTCCATTTAATTGATATATAATTGCAATTTAATACTGTGTAAGTTTAAAGTGTATAACATGAGAATTTGAAATAAGTTTATATTAAAAATAATGATCACTATATATCAATTAACATCCACTTATATCTCATACAGTTACAATTTTTCATCCTTGTGAGAACTTTTCAGAGCTATTCTCTCAGCAACTTCCAAATGTGAAATACAATGTTGTTAACTATGGTCAAGACTGAGTCTCTGATGAGAAGGCAGAGCCAGGAATCACACCCCAGCTCACAGTTGCTGAGTGGCAGGAGCATCCCGCTGGGCTAGGGGAATTCTGCTTCTCCAGTGCTCCTTCACTCCTGTCCCACCCTAGACGCTCTCCCCCAGTTCACAGCATGATCTGCAGATCAATCAAGCCTGGGGAGGAATTCTGGTTCAGTCACTTAACCAGCTGTGTGACCTTGGACAACTCACTCATGACCCTCCACTGTGGCAATCTTTCTTGTAGGAGATATATGGCATTGAGCAATTGCTTTAGTTATCATTTGCATTTACTGTCTCCTGTCCCTATCTTCATTCCTTGCTAATGAAAATGATCATTTTCTCCATTTCATTTCTATCATTCAGTCACCCTGCTTGGTAGTAGAGAATTTTGGCACTAGACTAGTGATTGTTATTTCATTACATGTGCGCGCGCACACACACACACACACACAAACACACACAAGTGCACACACACACACACACACACACATAGCGCCTCACTCAGAGCTACTGACTCAGCACTGGAGAAAGAGAATTCCCCTAGCCCCGAGGGGTGCTCCTGCAGCTCAGCAACTGTGAGTTGGGGTGTGATTCCTGGCTCTGCCTTCTTATCAGAGATAACGTGGTGACTATCGTTAACAACACTATTTCACATGGAGAAGTGAGGAGGTGAGGTCTGGAATCTATATTTTTAAAACTTCTACCCCTGATGAAAAATGCTGTACCTATTCAGACTCAGATACCCAATGAGAATTCATTACAATATTGTTTGAAAAGGAGAGGAAATTTTTTTTTTCAAGCCAAGGAAATTCAGAAGCTTCAGCTACCTCTTCATAGACATAGGAACAAACCAAAAGGGATTTGTCCAGCTGGAGACTTAACAGAGAAATCCACCAGCCACACCAATTTGTTGGTTGTTAATTTCTAAACATTAAAATGGTGGGTCTAGAGTTTAAGCTTGGGTTTTGGGGTTTTGTGCCAATCTTTTATTTTTGCTTTTTTGGGTTGAAAATAGCCATCACCCTCCCATCTCTTCTTTACCTGTTATCATGTGATTCCTGTCTTTCTAAGGACTGAGCCTTCCACCTAAGGAGGAGCAGAGGAGTGCATAATAGGAGGGCCTGGAGGCTGAGGATGGGGATACTAGGGAATGAGACAGAGAGCAGTGGTGAGGGGGCTGTGAGCTGAATGCTCTTTATGCACAGTTCTGGCAGGTGATGTAGAATTCAACAAATCTGTGTTGAGGAAAACTTTTTAGATGTTTCTAAAGTCTTAACTTAAGTGTTCTGCACTTTTAGGTGTGTGTGTGTGTGTGTGTGAGAGAGAGAGAGAGAGAGAGCGCGCGAGCGAGCGAGATGGGGGCTAGTGTGGCTGTATACTCAAGACATGGAAATAAAAAAGCTCCCTCTATTGACTCCTGAATGGCTGAGATAAAGAGAACCACATGGGACTCATTGTCAGAAAGGAGAGCTCCGAAGCTGGCCTCCTTTTTCCCATTATTGTGTCATTCTCCTTCTTTCCCCTGCCCCTCCCACCTTAAAATGGTCCCCCAACCCCCACCCACCCCCAACTCTCCTTTCCCTCCAATAGCCCAAAGACACTCTTTTTAAGCGCCCACTGCCGAGGCCCCCTCAACGAAGCCCAAGACCTCCATTCAGAGTCACTGGTTTGGGTAAAATCCCTTATTCACCTCTACCCACCCCCTGCCCCATCAGCTGAGCCTCAGTTCAGACCTCACAAAACAAAACAAAACCAGCCCATAGAATTGATGGCTGCTGCTGGAGGACCCCCCTCCACTCTTCCCCCCAGGGGCTCCTGCCCAGGCAGCCTCTATTCTCTGGGGTTCCCTCCCTCCCTGCCCCCAGCTCCTGCTGGATTTTTGTAGTTAACAAGTGCACACTGTTATTATTGTGCCCCTATCATATTTATCCCCTTTCAGAGCTGATCTGCACTTTTGTCAGGGGCAACCAACGCATCTTGTGACATTTTAGCCTTTCTGTCTGCTGAGGACTGCTGGCAGTGGTAGCGGCAGGGGCAACCCATGCTTCCCTTCCAGCATAGAGCCAGCAAGAAGAAATGAGGGAGAAGAGCACAAAACCCTAAAACAAGGGGGACTGGAGAGCAAAGGGAAAACATTGTAACTTGTTATTGATCCAATGTGCAAATGGCAAGGGGAGGAGGATTCTAACTAGTTTGATGACAGATGTATTTAAAAGAGTTTCATTTCTCAACAAGGCTGCAAGGTAGCTGCCTTTGTTACAATACTCTGCTAAACTTTCATTTTTCACAAGTTACGTATATTTTAGGGAAATGAGAGAATAAGAATCACAGGGTGAGAAAGAGTGAAACCCAGAAAGATTCAGAGTAAAATACTAACAGAGAGAGAGAGAGAGAGAGAGAGACAGAGAGAGACAGAGAGAGACAGAGAGAGAGAGGTAGAACGAAATAAAAACTTATGTTTGGGGCCTCCCATGGTGGCTGCCCGCAGCACCGGTTTGGTTAGTTCCCCCGCCACAGGCGAGGGTCCCACAAACAAACAAACAAACAAACAAACAAACAAACAAACAAACAAACTTATGTTTGGTGTTCTTATTGTAACACACTCTTGAAAGGGGGCAATAGATTTAACAAAGCTCACTTGTGCCTCTTTTTAAATATAAAGTTTAGAAAAGCTCACCAGAATTCCACTTCAGTGATTAGCAAGCTTCCTGGATTCTTTCCTATTCATTTCCATTAAGAATTTTGTGGTCATGGCATGTAAACAATATCTGAAAGTATTGTTCCAATTAATGACTGCAGAGAGTGCTGAAATATCAATGGAGAGGAACTTAAAGAAAACACAGCTAATTAATTTTCACTTGATCTCCCAGAGAATGGCATTTTTATTCTGAGAGTACCTTTGAGGAAAGGAAGTTGAACACTCTGTGATTTGCACAAGGTCCAAGACTGAGCAAGAGATGGAGCACATCTGACCGCTGGGCCCAGAGCCAGCCCCTCACAAAGCCACAGCCTTCATCTTTCACTATCTTATTTCTAGGAAAGAAAGCACTCACTGATGAAGAAATCTGAAAGATGAAATTCCAACATACTTTAGGAGAAGGGTGAGTGTTGAGAGGACATTAAAGGAAGAGATTAGCCTGTGGATTACTCCTGACTTGGTTTTCTTTCCTTATAAGACAAAAAGAGAAATCTCCTGTATACCTAGAGGCGGATGTTACAAATCTTCTCTGATCATTTTCTTTCACTTTTCTAAACAATATGTTATATCTTAAAAACCTTGTCCTTCCAAATTGCATAGCCCCACGACACTTGTAAATGACATTTGTTGTTATCCTTAACATACAGATGGAGAAATAGGGTTTGAGAAATTGAATCCTTAAAGCAAGGTTACTCAGAAACTCCATGGTAGACCCCACCCTTCCTAGGCTATAAGATCAATGTCATCAACATGTCCTTCAACAAAATTTTCAACAGCTTATTCTTGTTTTTATACCCAAGCTTCCCTTTTTTTCCTTCTTGTGCAAACTTTAAAAGATGCCCATTACACCTTTTATAGTCTCTCCTGAGACATGAATTCTAAGATTTTCACAGGTTTCTTTTCCAGAATAAACCCTGGGATCTTTACCTTATTCTCTAATCACAAATTCTACTAATTCCAGGCTTGACTCACTTATACTCAGATGTAGAAGCAGGATAGATATCCCAATTTTCCTCTCTTAGGCGTACAGTTACTTCAATTGGGACTAGCAAAAAATACTGCCCCATGCCATTTGCAGGATGCTTCATAGTTATAAAATGCCTTCACATAGCTTGTCAGTTCAATTTCACTGCATCTCTAAGAGTTTTACAGAAGGGTAAACTAAGTCAGGTTTAAAGAGGTTATGTGTCCTAAGTCACACAACCGGAAAGTTGTATGTGTATGGAGATGGAGGCCAGGGAGGTGGTGGGGAGAGATCAGAATCCAGGTCTTCTAGGATTCAATTACAGAATGTTTTATGCTTGTTCCGTAGAGAGTGAATGAAGAATGAATTCTTCTGTTTATACTAAGGAAGTTAGCATTGGCAATACAATGTTTCTGAAAATAATTGAGCCTTAAAGAAAATGGGTGGGTTTGAAAGAACAGAACCTTTCTCAAGTCTTACTAAGGAACCTAGAATCATTACTTAAAATTGGAAAGACTGTTAGGTAAGTTGTAAAGCATTTGGATACCGAGACCCAAGATTTGGATGACATTGGAATTTACTGCCACATTGTGGGTATAATTTATTCAGGAAACCTATACAAGTTTGGGGGTCAGAACTATCACCTATCTAGAAAAGAATGTATTTTCTATAGATGTTCGGTGAAGTGTTATAAAATATTACCTAGGTCGTCAAGGTGGTCAACAATGTTCAAATCATCTTTGTCTTTACTAATTTTTTTGTCCAGATCTATCAATTACTGAGAAAAGGGAGTTAAAGTCTCTGACTATGACTGTAGACTTACCTATTTCTCCCTTAAATTCTGGCCATTTATTTTTTGTATGTTTTGCATGTCCATGCAGTGGCCATGCCAATCTTCTCTGTATCACTCCAATTTTAGTATACGTGCTGCTGAAGTGAGTACTTTTTTGGTATATTTTGAAGCTCTGTTTTAAGGTGAGTGATGACCTCTTATTTCATGTCCTTGTGATGGACAGACTTCTTTGTCATTATGAAATATCCCTTTTTATTTCTGGAAATAATCTTTGTCTTGAAGTTTATTTTATACCATATCAGCATGGCCATTCCACTTCTCTTATGCTTACTGCTTGCACAATTTATCTTTCTTACCCAGCTGTTATATCCTCCACTCTAAATCAAATACATCTGAATTATTGTTTACATAAGACACTTTAGTGAATTTCATTAGCTTGAGTGACACATTGAGAGTATGATCTTTTTTTTCCCGATGATTCAATGAAAATAATTTTCTAGACTAAAAAGTTTAAATCAGGTGCAAAGGGTCCAGCTGATAGAAGTAGCTATCCAACTCCCTTTACCAATGTTGAAACCTCATTATCTGAACTCTCAATTCCTTCCTTTACACCATCTTCTTATTGGGCCTTCCTACATGTCTTCTTACCCCTCCAATTGCCATTTTCACTCTTCCTCTCTAGAAATTAAACCCTAGTCCATGATTTCGTTCCCTTTGTCCATGATCATTAGGATTTTCTTCACGTGTGCATCACTGTCTCTCATCTTCCCACCCAAAAGACACAAGCAGGAAATCTCATTGAGTTCTTTCTTCTGGGACTATCTTTTCGATGTGTCTTTAATTTCCTCTTTAGTCACTGGATTGGTAAACCTTCTTATATGCTTCTTGAAATAGCTCACATTTTTCATGCTTTTTCCCCCCTCCTTCAAATCCCTCCAGAAAACTCACTTCTTTTCATTGGTCTCCCAGTCTTTTCCTCCTTTCCAGCCACATCAACTCAACTAGATGTCTCATTGTTTATTCAGTGTTTTGTTTATGTCTAAATCAGACAGTCAACGCCTTGAGACTGGGGTTTCATTCTCAGAGTTCCGTTCTTTGCAGATGCCATTTGCACTTACCACACTCTATAAATAATAAATAATCAGACCAAAGAATCAGTAAACTTGAGCCAGATCACTGATTAGCATAAATACTCAACACATAGAAAGAGTTGCTGCTGCTGACATAAAAACTTTTTCTCCAAGAAAAACACAACAATGAAAAAGAATCTTGGAAAAGATGCTTGGTCACAATTCAAATTGAACAAAGTAAAGGACAAACTGACTCTAGAGAGGAAGACACCCACTGTGAATTCTTACCCCGTCTCTTAAAGGAACTTCCATGTGGGCTGAGAGCTCTTTCTAGTTCTTATCCTTGCTCTGTACCTACAGTGCCTGACATGAAGTAGCCATATAATAGATGTATTTCTTGAATTGTTGACCTGAATCTAAAGAATTGGGGGGACATTTAGCTCACACCAGTGCCCAGCAATGGAATTACTCTTTGAAACAGAACCTTACTCTTGAATGATTTTTAGACATATCCAATTGCTAAAGGAATCAGATTACTACATTAAACCACATTTGATATTCATAATTTGATATTCAGAACATAGTGTGTTGGTTCTGTGAGAGAGAAAAGGCTGATCTCTGTAATGTAAGTACTCTTAACATGGCTGATTTCACACACACACACACACACACACAATATTCACAGAACTTTTATTGCATTATAATTATTCTATTTTGTTATTAGTCATTGTTGTTAATCTCATACTATACCTAACTTATAAATTAAACTTTATAGGAAGAAATAGTATATTAGGGGTTTTATCCGCAGCTTCAGCCATCCACTGGGGGTCTTGGAATGTATTCCCTATGGGATATATTAGGACAAGAATATCCATTAGGACAAGAATAAATCAGGGTTATCCCCACTAGAATGTATGGTTACCCTATCACTGACCTAGTCTTCATAATCAGAAATTGTATTTTCTAAAAAAAATGAGAAATACTTTATGATATGAATTCTCTGTGCTTCTTCCCCCCAAATTAAGAAATCCTTCATATCCAAATCTGGTTTTTAAGCCAATTGTCTTATAAAATAGACCTCTAATATAGAAAGCTACAAAAAAAAATCCATGTGTTTAATATTTTACCTTCTTCTGCCCAGAAATATAATTCTCCTTATAGGAGCCACTGAAAGGGAAGTCTTTCTTGTCTTTGAAGTCAGATTGGGCTGAAAATTCAGTTTCTGCAATCAGATAGTATGTGACCTTGAGCAAGTTTCTTAATTTCTTAGTGTCTCAGTGAGTTGGGGGGACAAGCCTAACTGGAGTTTAATAGTGTTACCAGCCCTTCCTAGTTGCCTAGGACTCTCCTGATTTAAAACTATAATTTTGGATCTCAGGAACCCTCTCAGTCCTGGGAAAACTGGGATGGTTGATCACAACCATAACCGCTCAGCAGAATTGTTATGAACGCACAGATCATGTTAAGAGTGTGTCTCATCTAGAGGAAGCTGCTGATATCAAAGTAGGGTGAGGGAGGTGTGGTGAGAAGACAACAATCTAATCCACGTTTTTAGCTGTGCTTTGCTCTGTGTCTTAACATTTCCACTTTATTCCCAATGAGGTGGGGTGACCACCTATTCAGTGGACATATTTATGTATCATGAGTTGGTCCTATAAGCCATCTCACAAAGACAATTAATTATTAGGAACAAAGTAAGAATTTTGAATTATTTTATAATCCTTCTTCCTCCAGATTAGCCCTGTAAGTGGTCTTTTAAAAAACCTTTGTAATCCTCTTGCAAAAGAAAGTCTCCATTGCCAAAGGTGGACTTGATTCCCTTTTATTTCTGTTGGAGTGATCTCTGAAACCAGAGAGTCTGTTCTGGGGACCAGGATGTAATTGCTCTCTCTAAAAAAGCCAGGCTTTTTTAGACTGGCCTAATAAGGACCTCTCTTTAAAAAATATAATGTGACTTTGGGCCTCCCTGGTGGCACAAGGGGTTGAGTTTCTGCGTTATGAAACTATCAGTGTCCACTGCAGCATGAGTTTGATACCCAGCCAGCTTGCTGATCCACATGGCACAGCAGACCTCTCCTGGTCTCACCTGCTACTCCCCTCAGCAGTGTACTTCAATCAGTCTGCCTGTTCTGCTCCCCACTCGGTCTCTGGTGAGTCCTCTCACCCTCCTGCATCTCTGGCCTGTACCCCAGTTCTTGTATGCATAAATAAATAAAGCTTAAAATATATATAATGTCACTTTAATGCTGATAGGGGTTGGATGGTAAATGCAGAACCAAATCTTCTAGTCCCTGAGGAGGTTCAGCTGGTTCAGTCACAGCACAAGTTTCTCTCCCCAAATCTGAGAGGTACAACCTGACAGGTAGGAAATAGCTATAGAAGGGCCTATTTGGTTTCAGGAACTCATTTCAACTCTGACACCTCTGGCTCAGCTGCTCCATTATACTAGGGAGAATAAATGATTCTTTCAAGGGGCACCCTTGGGATGACATCAACCTTTTTCCATCTGGAAGGAATTGACATCACCAGCTCATTTTTGGTAGTTTCCTAGGGAGTACATGTTATAATTTAAGAAGTTATGACTTGGAACTCAATTGAGGACAAAAGCCATATTTTCCCCAATTACAACCGATGGTACATACACAGCACCTTCGTAGTCAACTTTTCAACCACATGTCCTCTTTCTTTTCTTTTTCTTTTCTTTTTTCTTCTTTTCTTTTCTTTTCTTTTCTTTTTTCTCTTTCTTTCTTTCTTTCTTTCTTTCTTTCTTTCTTTCTTTCTTTCTTTCTTTCTTTCTTTCTTTCTTTCTTTCTTTCTTTCTTTCTTTCTTTCTTTCTTTCTCTCTCTCTCTCTCTCTCTCTCTCTTTCTTTCTTTTCTTTCTCTTCCTTTCTTTCCTTCCTTCCCTCCCTCCCTCCCTCCTCCCTCCCTCCCTCCCTCCCTCCCTCCCTCCCTCCCCTCCTTCCTTCCTTCCTTCCTTCCTTCCTTCCTTCCTTCCTTCCTTCCTTCCTTCTCTCTTTCTTATTTATTTTACTTGTGTATACAAGAACTGTGGTACAGGCCAGAGGTGTGGGGTGGGAAAGGACTCACCAGAGACAGATGGGGAGCAGAATAGGCAGACTGACTGAAATACACTGCCGAGGGGAGCAGCGGGCAAGTCAGGAGAGGTCTGCCCTGCCATGTGGGTAGCTCCCTGGCTGGGGATGGAACTCATTCTGCAGTGGCTGGCCATAGATCTTGATAGTGTTGAGACTTAACCCCTGTGCCACCAGGGAAGGAGGCACTTACATATCCCTTTGCTAAGTTGGTAGTACTTTGTGATTGGAATTAATAAACCTGACTCTGCTGAATAATACATAATCAGTTCGCTGACTGGGAGGGAGGGATTAATGAGCTTCAGTTTTTTTCATTCATCCATCCTGCTTTCTACTATTCGTGAGTAAGTCATATGAAGGTAGCAATAGGAATAGCAAGGATTAGGAACCATCATAGTATCTGGCACATAGTAGGGGTAATGAATGAGACTTGGTTTCTGATCATTAGCTAGCTGTATGACCTTGATGCCATTTTACCTCTTTGACTCTTTTCCACTACTTCAAGTGATGGGTGGAGTTGGGTAAGCTTCAAGGCCCTGTTCATCTCTGAGTCAATGAATTGTATGCTTCAGAAATTTGTCCACTTTTATGTTGTATATATATTTTTTAAAGATTTATTTATTTATACAAGCACTGGGTACAGTCAGGAGCGTGGGAGGGTGAGAGAATTCACCAGAGACAGAGCGGGGAACAGAACAGGCAGACTGACAAAATACACTGCTGAGGGGAGCAGTGGGCATGGCAGGAGAGGTCTGTGTGCCTTGTGGGACCCTCTCCAGCAGCCAGGGATAGAACTGGTGCTGCAGAGGCTGTGGGCAGCTTTGTAGCCCACCACTCAACCTCTGTGCCACCAGGGGAGGCCCTGTAAATATTATTTTTGTGGCAATTTCAGACTAACAATGATTTTAAAATGAGCTTAAGAATTTTCTGGATATTTATCATTCTGTTTTCATGAGTTGGTATGAACCCATACCAATAGACCACTGG